TTGCCATAATCTATTGTTTCGGACCGTGACCCGCGTTTCACTTCGGCTTTCTGGGCCGAATTATTCCAACTATTAGGCACTCGGTTGCTTATGTCTACGGCGGCCAATCTAGAGATGGATGGGCAAACGGAGCGTGTGAACAGAGTGCTTGAAGATGTCTTGCGCAGTTATGCAACATCGTTCTCGTCATGGAGTTCGTTTCTTCCACTTGCAGAGTTTGCAATCAACAATGCTGTTCATGCGTCAACCGGGTTGACGCCCATTTTCGTTAACAACGCGAGGCATCCTCGCGTTCTGGCGCTACTTGCTCTATCAGCTTCAGAGCAACCTGTCTCCAAGTTTGGTGGGTGAGTATCTACGGATGGAATTTCGCCGAAACTATTGATGAGTGATTACGATGCGAATGAGGTTGCTGCCGATGCACCTAATAATGGTAATTTCGTGAACAACGGCATATCGACTCCTGACGCGATGATTTCCATCGCGTCTCCCGTTGCTAATTTTGCCCCAAAAGAGAATACGTCGCCTGTAAGTTCGGCTGCAGTAACCTAATTTTTACTATTACGAAAAGGAATTACGCGTTTGTGCGTGATGCATTAGAAGTGGCAGTCGATAAGCAAATGAAGAATACAGACAGAAGAGGTCGAAAGAATGTGTTGACATTTCGAGAAGGTGGCAGAGTATTTTTATCAACAAGTGGATTACCGAACACCTCAGTGACGAATTTGGGCGCTAATAAGTTAGCGCTAAGATATATTGGCCCATTTCGGGTTGTTAAGGTGCATGGTGACGCTTACACGCTAGACATATCTACATCTATGCGTTTGCACCCGACGTTATACGTCGGGCGCCTCAAGGCTTACCTACCGGCGGATCTCCCTTCTAATCTTCCCCGCTCTTCTGTGCCGGCTCTAAATCCGACATCCCTTGACGACGACGCTGACGACGACTGGGACCAAGTCCTGCCCGAACGCGTGCAGACTCGATCTGCTGGGGTCCTCCGAACGCATGTCTTCTCAAGTTGACGTAGGCGCTCAACCAGTACCAGCTGCTCACGTCGAGTCCGCTCAGCAGCCTCAGTCACAGCATCCGCACGATCTTGAGCTCTCTCAGCCATCTCGCGAGCATCAAGTAGGGCATTCTTCGACTCCTCGGCTTCAGCGCGAAGTAGGCGCAGCTCATCATTCGACTGTACAGGCGCCCGATTGCGAGAATCGGCGCTCATCGCCAGAGGTCTTCCGTCGTGATGCTCCTTCTCCCTTAATTGATGCATCGAGTACGCGACGCTGAATTGTCGACCGAATTGTCGATCACGAGGATCACAAGCCCCAGGCGCCGAGTAATGACTCGGCGCCCATGAAGAACCATGTCGAGAAACATTACAGGGTTTGCTGGTTGGGATATTCGCCGGCGGACGATACATGGGACGCTGCCCCAAGATTTCCCGGACGTGGTCGAGGACTACGAGTCCCGTAGAAAGACGGTGATCGCGACCGACGCTGCCGGTTTCTTCCCCTATCTCGCGAGCCTTAATGCTCGCGAGCAACGAAACCACGACGACCTCCCGAGCGACTCCGAGACCGAGACCGAGACCTATTACGAGGCTCGAGAGAATAAGGATGATACGGTTGACGACCTCGGCTACGTGAACGCCCTCGGCGATCGTAAGGACGCGCTCTCACTCTCCGTAGATCGGACACCCGTATCTCCGAAAGGCTTCTCTCATAACGGGCAATCCATGGATGAATATGATTGGGCATGCCTCGCGTACACACCAAGTCGTCCCATTCCTGCCGGACCGATCACAATCTGCCCATGTTGCACGTTGGACATCCCTCACGAATGTGGACGTAACAAAGGTAATACGCGTTCCCTCGCGACCGTCTAACCAAAACGTAAAGGGCGTTCCTTCACGTCGGCTCGCGTTCCAGCGCCTGATAAAGGCACACCAAGATCTCTGCAACGAATCGTCGGTATATATGCGTTGTTCGTCGCTCTGCCTCTCACAGTACGGTATCGTTTGTAGAGGTCCTTTTTGACCTCTAGTGGCTCGGGTTCGACAGCACCTTCAAGACCATACAAGCGCCACGGTTTCAAGTACCCATCCATGACCTGCGGCGCCTGCTCTCTTCGGATCGTCGCTTGGTGTTCCCAGTTCTGGTTGTCAGAGACATTATTTCGTGGACGCCCAGGGTTCATGCTACTCAGTTATGTTTAATTGAGCAGGTTCGAAGTTACGCCGTTGGTCGAGAAGAAACTTTCTGCGATTTCGCGCTTACGTTGAGGGAACCGCAACTTAAAGAGGGAGGTGATGTAATGGGGCACCCTATTACATAAGTAGTTATAGGGATAATACATAATTACATAAGTAGGGATAGGGCAGTATCCGATTAGCGGATACTGCGCGTCATTTTATATTTGGTTTAGTATTGGGATGCCAGACCCAATAATTAGCCAATAATAAATTGACTTCCATATTGAGTGGTTCCCATGAGCTAGGAAACATATTCGCACTTACTGCGAATTAAAACAAAACAAAATAAAACAGAGTTATATTTACGAATCAATTAAGAGCGCTTCCTCAACGCCCTTTTAGTGTAAGACGGTAACGGGTCCTTAGCCCGTAACAACAAGGGTTCCAGTAACCGGGAACAGGGGAACCAGTCACTAAGGACATGGTTTCAGTCACCAGGGACAGGGGTACCAGTTACCGGGGATAGGGGTATCGAAGGTTCAGCGTCCTAAAATCATAGAAGGTACAACGTTTCCCTATCGTAATCACAGCCTGTACGCCAGGACCCCGAAAGGTCCAGTGCCCCGAGGTGGTCCAGGGTCCTAAGTTCAAAGAAGATACAAGGATTTTTTGCGTGCAGAGCCGGTACAGGTACCAAAGCTTCAAGGTCCCAAGGTCCAAGGGCCCAGGGTACCAGTGCCCCATGATACAAGGGCCCCACGGGACCAGGGCCCCAGGGCACCAGGGCCCCACGGTACAAGGTCCCAATGCCCGAGGATGCAAAAACGTACACGAAACCCCGAAGATTACAAAAAGCACAGGTACTAAGGAGTCAGTTCTTCCTCCAAGAGTCGACATGTGGCACTATCCAGATCGAAGGGTTAGGGTTAGGCAAGAAAATGCATACAAAGTATAAGATAAATAAACACATTCGAATTTGCATTACACGTGGCAGCTCTTAGCGCCCCTCTCCAAGCTCTTCTCCGTCACCTCAACTCTTCCGAGCGGGATCCCCTTTGGCCCCCGACGTCAGTAGGTGTTAGACGGCTCAAGCTACGCAAGTTGAACCTCAGGATAGTTGGTCTGAGGTGTCAAGACTCAAGTGCGAACTTGTTTCGATCTAGTCATCTGTTTCGGGGAAGGGATTTATATTGCCCCCCCCCCCGTTAAAGACAGTCGTGTGGTTAGATTTAAGCTCGAACGAACCCCAGGAAGTATTTTGGCCTGTGAGTTCATACCATTGAAGACCCGCTACAAGCAGCGGTTTCCCTACGGGGAACAAGAAAAGGGGTCGAAAGACCAAGTAGCCGTTAGCCACCGAAGGGGTAAATAGTACAGGTGCACTGCTCTCGACTCAGTCGATTGAGCCCAAGAAACCCTGGGCCCGAGTGAAGCATATCCACTCGTGGGCCCCCAAGTCCCTCCATACAAGGACCAAGTCTACAAGTCTTTTGCGTCTAACGAGAAGCAAGACCATCCAAGACGAAGGGTACACAGGGTGAGACCCAAGGTTGACGCGACACGGTATCGGGGTACCCCCTCAGTAAGTCGGCAGTCCGGCGCTGTGTGTGTTTGTGGTTCTCTAACGTCGCTTGAGAATCCACTTAACCACACGTCGATGTTGACGTATTACCGCAATCCTAAAATATACTATGTCATGCTGCGTCAAACTTCTGTTTGTGTACAAGCCATGTTTCACTGAAATATGTGCACAATGCCGACAAATCTGACACCTTAGTAAAGATAACATCCTTACGTACTTAGAACTCGTAAGCTCCTAGCTTGTTCTTGCACCCTGTCCATTGCTTCTATCTGAACCTTAAGCTATTGCTTGTAGACTAAAATTCCCACCTGAGTTCATCTGAACAAAGTGACTTCTTAGTCGTTTAATTAGTTCCTTGAAACGAAGTTGTAATGGGGCACCCTCCTACTATACTGATAACAGTATAGTCTACCTTCACTGATGACAGTGAAAGCAGGTGCCTCAAAACCTCTCTTACACAAGAGGCAGAGGAAGCTTTACTTCTGAACGACACGCTTAGAAGTAGAGGAAAAGAAAACTGTATTTAATTTAGTTAACTATCTAATAAAACTAATCTGTTATAACCTATGTTAACTATATTAAACTACAACTATGTATGTTGACAACTTGCTCTCCACTCATTGCGCGCGTCCATCGGTCATTGGTCAGCGCGTTGGTTGATATGATGGCCCATATCAACCAATGACAGGGCATCTCCAACTTCAAGGAGATCTAGGAACAATATTATAGGAAGAGATAATATTGTCAAAAATATTATTAGTTATAATAATATTTTTATTGACACTTCATATAAGTGTCAATATTATGTCACAAGCTTACCCCGTTACAGAAGTGGCTTTTAGTCGTAACTGTAATTAGTTCTTTACAACTAAGAGGCTTTCAGCCTAAGAGTCTTCCTCTAAGTTAAAGAGCTACGTAGCTCCGCTACAGTGAAGGTGGCACCCGTTAGGGTCGCTAACGTTTGTTAAAGTTGAGAAGGAGCTCTGTGGACAGAGTGCTAGATGGTTAATATAATTTTGTCAATTTTTTTCAAGGTGCTGAGGTAGGACCTTGGTCAAAGTTCCAATTGTGTATTAATGCACTAAAGAAAAAATTGCTAGGCTTTGCGTCATAATTGGCTAGTTTACCCTTATTTCGCAATTATACCCAGTGTAAATAGATTGACCAATAAATTGTAGCGGTTGCATCATTGGTTTTGTGGTACAAATCACAAGTCTCGCTCTAATGGCGCGTGTGTATGCTGCGCTAGGCACGAACTTAGGTGATCCAACTCGCATCGAATTGCTTATTCTATTTAATCTATTGATTTTTATATAGATATATTTTATTGATTCGGCAGGTAACAAAGTACTGAATTTAGAAAATGCACTGGCCATGATATCACAAATGGTAGGGCCGATCGAAGCCACGTCCCGTCTATACACCACGGCGGCGCAGTACGTGGAAGACCAGCCAGCTTTTCTGAACCTTGTGGCTCAAATAAAGACAGAATTGAAGCCTACGAAGTTGCTGGGGGCTTTTAAGAAAATCGAGAGGGAAGTGGGACGCGTACCTTCACTAAGGTATACACTTACTGAAAGCCGCTACCACATTACAACATACTAATTACTGTGTTCACCTTGACAGATGGGGACCGAGACTAATTGACGTGGACATTTTGCTTTATGATAATCAGACCTTTAAGATTGATACGGAAGAAGGATCTCTCATTGTACCACATGAACGCATCACCGAAAGAGATTTCGTGCTTGCTCCGCTTTGTGATTTGGCTCCGGGTACGTTGTGTATGAAGCAACTCTTTTTTACTTTTAATATTTGACTTTTTGTATTGTGAAACTAGATTTGCTCCATCCAGTCTTGAAGCACTCGATGCAGCATCTGTATGACATGTTGAAAAAAGGCGAGCGATGTTATGCTGACCCCGTGCTAATGCTGCCAGTTTACAAAAATGCACCTTGGTCATTGGGAAACAAGACATTTGTCATGGGAATTGTAAACATTACACCAGACAGCTTTAGTGATGGCGCTGAACTGGAGTCGACAGCAGCTGCAGTAGAAAAAGCGTTGGAGATGGAACGCGCTGGTGTGGATATTATTGACATTGGAGGTGAATCAAGCCGCCCTGGAGCAGAGCCTGTGACAGAACAAGAAGAGTTGAGGCGTGTGTTGCCAGTGATTCGTGGCATCCGTGAAAAGAGCAAGATTGCTATTTCTATTGATACCACAAAAGCGAATGTTGCACGTCAAGCGGTTGATGCAGGCGCAAATATAGTTAACGACATCTCAGCAGGTCTGAACGATGGTGCCATGCTAGGTACTGTGGCTATGCTGCGTGTCCCAGTAAGTCTTCATCGCGTCTGGTTAATTCTGCACACACGGTAGATTGACCATATCTACTTGTTGCTTACACGTGCACTTTTGCAGATTGTGCTCATGCACATGCGAGGCACACCAAAAACTATGACTGGCCTCAAGGTTCGGCAACGAAGCAGAATAACGGCTTTGAACGTTCCTATCACTGTATTAATTCTAACGTACGCATCTGTTGTGAAGCGCAGGAGTACGAAGATGTAGTTGCTGAAGTTGCTGAAGTGATGAGTAGACGTGTGGCGGCTGCGGAGGCTGCTGGAATATATCGGTGGAACATTATTGTGGACCCAGGAATTGGCTTTGCCAAAGCTCGATTTTTGAATCTGAAGCTACTACGAAAACTCTCAGTCTTTAAGAAGCTGTGCCAAGGATTGCCGCTTCTTGTACGTAAAAGTGCATGCGTTTGAATTTACAAGCTAAACTAATGGGTGATATGCTACATGTACAATTAGGTGGGACCATCTCGCAAGGGTTTTATTGGCGAGATCTGTGGGCGTCCCGAACCAAAAGACCGCGCCTGGGGCACTGCTGCTACGTGTTGTGCTGCAATTGAGCAAGGAGCTGACATTCTGCGAGTTCATGACGGCGCTGAAATGGTAGATGTGGCCAAAATGTCGGATGCAATTTGGCGTGGAGAGTAAGCATTTTGGGCTGTTTTAAGACCCATTTGTCCGATGAGTGGGGATGGCATCGACAAAAGGTAGTCATGCCTCACTAAAGTGCTCCGGAACTTTGCTCCAATCATAACTGTGTGAACCAGCATTTTATTTCATTAGCTGGTTACCTCGGAGTAAGCCGGTGGACTAGTTCGACTGTCAACCAATGAGTATATAATCTATCACTGGCAAACTTGGACATCAGTGATAGTTTCCATCAGTACACCTTTCACCAGAACGTTTAATTAGTAGGCCTCAATCTTTAAGTTATAGGTCTATCACTGGGCGGTTCATGCATGAAAAAAAACAATGTAATGCTTAAGTGAGTCCCTGTATATCAATAGTACGATATGACGCAGTGTCGGAACAACAATTGCCCAATGTTGTAGTTTCAAATGCAAATTCATTGTCACATTGCAGCGTCTACTTTATTGAGCCAACAAATTGCTGCTAACTGGAAAACTGCAAAAACGAAAATAGTAGTAGTGGGTACTAGAGTAGTATTTTGTGATCAGTACAGCAGTAGTAGTTACATACTACTAAATCTTAATAGTACAGTACATATACAATTAATCGAGAAAAACAAGCATATATATATATGTAATATACTATTTAAGAAAAAGTATTAAAAGTAATGCGACACATAATATTGGCCGGATCAGCATCTACTACATGCATTGTAGCGATAAATTATCTGCAATACTCGCTATACCGAATTAAGGTGAGGCTGATGACACCTCCACCTACGGCAGTCGCTCGCTGTATACTTATTCGATTTTTACCGTTAGTGAATAAATAAAATTATATGATTGGTTCTTTCAATTTAGTGACAAAAGTGCTCTTCATCCCATTTTTGACACTGATAGCTAGCATGGCAAATGGTACGGGTCTTTAATCTGTTTGACGTGTTCTTAATGCATGCTCCCGACTGATGGCTATTACATAACTAGTTAATCGAATAGACAATCTTTTCTCCTATACTAACTGCTTCTTGCATCGCCTTCATAGCAACGCTAGATACAGAAAAGTTTTACCTTGTCCGAGGCTGTCAGAATAGTACGTCCCTCTTTTTTTGATATTTTCTTTCTTTTAATAATAATTCTTACATGTAATATTATATTTCTAGTTGAAGCAGATGAGATCGACTATCGTAACTTAATGACCTACTACAAACTGGAGCCGGAATTGGCCAAGATGGCGAAGACGACTCTGCCCAGCACTTATCATCACCTGCTGCGCGGGGTGGGCGTGGCTCAAGATTCATTGATGCCCAACGAGGCCAAGGGGGACCTGATGGCGCTGCTGGATGGCGTGCCTTTTGATCGACCTATTGAGCCGCTGCCTGAGAGTGTGGTGAAGAGTGCATTGCAGCTGCCTGCAGGGAGCAAGAGAGGCCCCGTACTGCATCCACTCAAAAGTCGTAAGACACCAGGATTAATTCATGCGCCACCTCCAACAGGTGCTGAACGAGCAGCTCATGCGGAGAAACAAAAGGGCAGGTTTAAGGACGATAAGGACCGCAAGGAAAAAAAGGAAAAGAAAAAGAAGAAGAGGGAGAGAGAAGACGCCTTGACGCTGCAAAAATTGCTGGCTCCACTTGTGGCTGAGTTGCGGGCACTTACCTGGGCAGGATGGGTTGTCGGTGGTAAGCCGGGAAACCCATTTTTGCCAAAGTTTACAAAGGAGAATTGCAAGCGCCTTGGTGTACCCAACTACTTTGACTATGTGAAGAGCCCGATGGACTTGACACGGATGAAAGAGAAGGTGGAGCATGCGGAGTACACCAAGATCGACCAGCTTACGAATGACATTAAGCTCATGGCTGCAAATGCCAAAACATTTAATCGTGTGGGCGAACCGGTGCACCAAATGGCCATTGAGATTGAACAGCTTTACGAGTCAAAATTGTCGGATTACAAGAAGACGCTCGACGAGCTGCAGCAGGAGCGCAAAAAGCGCAAGAAAGACAAGAAGAAACGCAAAGAAAAGAAGAAAGAGAAGTGAGTCGATCCGCAAAGCAGCAATTTGTTTTCAGCAAGTGTAGTGTATTCATATTCTGCCTTTTGCTATTACATGACAAGTTCGAGTATCTCCTCTCCGTGTTCTCCATCACGTTCAGTTTTTCCTCTCATAGCAGCGTTCAGGATCGGATCTATTGGCAGCCACCAGTTCCACACGTCACAACCAAAGTATACCGTCAAATTGTGTATGAAACTGCAGTCCGCTAGTTCTCCTCTCTTTCCAGCCAAAAACTCAAGCGTCGTCTTGCCTTCTCGCAACAGCCATAGATGGAACATGAAGTATCCTGCCAAAAGCAAACCGATGCCCAGCGACAACGCCCAGGAACATTTGAGCAGGAACTCACACTGTTTCAAGTTCGTGTCCCATATCAATTGGGAGGTCATCACATTAAAAGTCAAGCAGCTCAGTGACGTGTACAGAAGAAACAGCAGAAAAAACTTTTTGTTGTTCCAGGCCACACAGTTTCCTGTCCAGGGGCAGTGATGGTCCATTCGATACACGCATCGATTGCATACGGAACAGTGATGAACGTGCATCGGTTTATCGGTATCACATCGCTCGCAATAACGAGTTGCTCGTTCGGATACGTGATTAGTGTCACTAATGTGTTTCCTATTGGCAGGACGAGACTTCATCGCTCGCACGTAACTCCATATCATACAGACGGTGGTAAATAAGTAGAAAAAATTAAGCAGAAGACTGGAATAGGGACGTAGCACTACTATCCACGTGTACAACTTGAGCAGAATGAGTCCAACAACGACAGCTACGAAGCTCTTGCTCATAGTAATAGTTTATAGTAGTAAGTACTACTACTTGCTCATAGTAATAGTTTGTTACTATGAGCACTTACCACCTATTACTAGAGGTAGTATTATTATAGTAGTGACATGACTGCCAGATATAATACACGGTTCTTGTACAAAAAGACAATTTTTGACCATTAATTTTTACTTTCAACAATAATTGTGTGGAAATCGCTAGCAAAAACTGTATTGGTTGCCATTATTTTGTATGCGAAGCTCTGACTACCTCATCCGAGTATCTTGGAAAGATAATGCACTACGCGTGCGCATTAAGACACCTCGTCCGTGCATCAAATCGTTTTTCTCACGCGTGTGGCACGATCATGGGGGTCGTGGGCTGCTGCGAAGAGTCCTGCTTTCGCGAGCCACGCTCAACGCGATGGCGTCCGCCCTCCTTCGATCCGCTGCGTTTGTATCCATGCACGCCACTGTTCATGTCGGTTGCGCGTGGCGCACGAGAACGACGCGGCTTCGTAGAAGACCCATTGCCAGATTTGTTGCCACCACTGTTACTATTACTACCTTTCTCTCTCCAGCGTCCCTGGCCGCGGCGGCGAATATTCTTGCCCTGTGGGCTATTTCCTTCTGGACCAAACTCCTTCTTCTCATTACCAGATGATCCAGACGAAGCCGAAGGAAAAGGCGTGCCCTCATCAGAAACTCCAGCAGCAACCGCTGCGAACGAGAGAGGCGGAGCAGAAACCGACTTTACGGCAAATGGAGCCTCAGCTTGCACTCGAACTTGCTCTTCAATCCGGGCTTCATTTTTCTCGCCAACTTCAGGGAAGAGCTTGTCCTGAGTATCAGCAGCCGCAACTTTGGTTATTTCTGCTTGCAATTCGGCCACCTTGACTTCTGGAGCAGTCTCGTCCTTTTCTGACTCAAGCTGTGATTCAGCAAAGAAGCTGATCTGCGGCATCATGTTAATCTCAGCAGGCACAACAGGGACGTCCAAAGTCTCCTCAACTAAAGTGGCAGAGTTCTTCGCATCGTGAACAAGTCCGGCCATAGCCTGCTCCGGCTTTTTTGAAGACAAGTTTGCCAACTCGTCCACAAACGCCCGTAAGCTGTTATAGGTCGTGTCACACGCAAACACCTTGTCACTCTTCATTAGATATTTCTTGGCTTCCTCCAGCGACTCTATCAAGTTCTCCTCGTACGACACCTCAGCAGGTGGGCGTGTATTGCCCAGCAGCATCTTGGAAAAAAAGTCCAGCACCATAGGCACCTCTTTACCCAGAGATTGATGCAGGTTAACTACATGCAGTGTCTTTAGCAACTCGTACACATTAGCACAGTTCTCCACCTTCTCAACCGTCTCCTTCACCACCTGAACGTCCTTCTCCACCTCTTGAGCTCGTTTTTCCTGCTCAACATCCTCTTTCTCCTTCACCTGTCCAGTTTCTTCTGCAACAGGCTCAACTGCAGCCTTTTGCTGCTTCTGTTGCTGCTTCTGCTCGAGTTCCTGGCTGTAAACAACAACAAACTGCTCTCGAAGCATCTCTAGCTCTACTACAAGCTTCTCCAGCGGTGCCTTGTTGCTCATAAGCTCCAATTGCTGAGCATTGAGCACTTTTCCCTCATTCGCCTGAGCATGCGCTAATCCCTTAATCTTCTCGAGCTTCTTGCGGTGCGAGCGGATGCGCTTGTATAGCACACTCAAGTACGGGTGGTCCACACATAGATTGTACATGTCTTCCTCTTCAGCTTGAGTTGCAGCAACCGCAGCAATAACCGCCTTAATCTTCGCCTTCATGACCTTCTTTTGGGACGGCATAACGGTCTTCACAGAGGGATCTACGGCCTCACACGTGGACGAAATCAAAGCTCCTGACTCGATCTTAGCAACATTCGACGTTTCACTCGACATTATGCTCTCTGTACTGCAGGATAAGTCCGCAAAGTCGACTGCTCCGAGTCTTCAGTTTATCACGACACGTTTTGAGAAATGAGGCAATTACTGGGAAAATCCTAGTGTGGTACACAAATTAAGCATTTTTCTACACTAAATGGTGTTCTCTACACATTATTGCAACTTAAACAGCTTCAATGATTTCGTCCACAATGACTTCGTCCACCCTAATCCCAAACGTGCCATCGCCCATAACGACAGTTTCAAGTGTCGCATGTCCACTGGATGTAGACATAGAAGAGTCAAACACCCCCTCTAAGTTGGACTTGTCGGGGTAGGGTAAATCGACTTGTTTGTCTCCCGCTTCAACAACTTCAACTTCAACCCGTGGGAACTTCAACTCTTCATTCGGTATCGTCTCATTGGCCTCGTCATTAGCGCCTTCAGTCTTGGCCACTTCAGTAGAAACAGCAACGTCAATCACTTTCATAGCATTGGCAGTTACTTCCACACTTTCTGCAGGATTCGTGTCGTCTGCCGTAGCCTCGGCGCCGTCAATTTGCTCACTTTCGTCGATAAATGTCGAGCCCGTATCAACGGTGATGTCGTCGGGTATCAGACCTAACTGCTCCTTTAGGTGTGGACACACGGCATCAATCACTGCGCATGTTTCGTCAAACAGCGTTTTACTGCTACTTTCGGTGCTCACTCGCTCGAGAATATCTTCGGCCTTCAGCACAAGCAGCAGATTATACAACGACTGCAATGTCGTCTCAAATACAACACTCAGCTGCTGCAATCGCATGGAAGGCGAATTTGGCGCTACCAGTTTGTTTGCCAGACGACGCAGCACATTCAGCCATAGCTCTGGAAAGTTTGGTAATTCCATCAAAATAGTCAAGTTGTGGAGAAATGTCTTGGACAACAACGTGACACTATACAGAGGAGCATCACGTGTCATCTTCACAGTGATGTCATTGACCTGATCATCAAACGCAAAGATGATATCATCAAAACATTGTTTCCAGGTGTCTTTCGCAATCGGCACTCCCGGCAGCAGTAACGAGTTGCGCAAGCATTCCCAAGCGGTCTTCGCTACCGGATTTCGATCGTCATTCAGGTAGTTTAGCATCACCCGCATGACTTGAAGCCACGAGGTCCCATTCATGTTATATGTGTTGTCACTGTTTGCCAGTCCTTGAAGAAGCTTTAATGCATCAACTGCGTAAGATGTCCGGTGACGAACAAATTCACAGCATAGAGACATCCACGGCGTAAAGTTGTCATCATTTAAGTGTCCGCCTTCAGCAAGCACAATCACGCTCTCCCAGCAGGCTGATCGACTGTTGATATATCCGACCACATTGCTCAAGATGCCCAAGAGCACCTTCCAGTCGTGAAAGTCGTGCATGTAGACGCTGTTTGCCTTGAGCAACATTGTGATGCCCGATGCTATTCGGTCGCTCAACGCCTTGTTAATATCCTGATCCATCGTCAAAAGCAGCTCAAGTGTTGCCATCAATTTCGGACGCACTTGCTCGTCGTGAAAAAGTCGAATACTGACTCGCAGGATATGCACAACTACACGTTCAACAAGTCCCTGCATGTGAAGCTCGTTCAATGGTGTCGAAAGAATGCGCTTCGCGTACAGGTGGAAAAAGTCCCACAAGTTAAGCTGCAAGATGCGGTGCGAGTTGACCAAGATGGTGTCCACACTTAGCTCTAGCACCAAAATCGCGTTTTCCTGCATCATTGCATCTACACCCGAATCAGACGCCTGCACAATGCACTTGAACGGATCGCGACACAAGATCAATGTCTCGAGCAGGCTTGTAAGTGACTTTTCCTGCAGTTTGCGGGTCAAACGAAGCCAATTTTCCTTCTCAAGGATTCCACCGCCAAGCGTCATTACCTCTTTATGAAGCATTTTATTTACCAACGAGAAACTTTCGTCAATCTTCTCCTCTTCAGCCCAGAGATAGTATGACAAAGAGCCCCAGAGGGAACTACTATTGACACTTTGTCCGTGACTCCCATAGGCAGTACCCTGACTAGCCTGTGTCATGCTTTTCATACGACTTCGGATCGCGGATTGGCGCTCTGCTTGTCGTCTGGAGCGCTCACGGGTCTTTCCAGAAAGACCTGTTCCACTCTGTTCACGACCTGACGACAACTTAGACTGGGAGGGGGCATGTATCGACATTCCGCCTTGAATTGGAGGCAAAGGCACACCACGCGAGTCTACAAAATCATCAATCTCTACCAATGATGTAGGAACTGCATCCAGCTCATTGAACATTAGCATGCACTCTACCACATGTGCCCAGCCCTTGCGAAAGTATTCGCTCTTATTCTGCACAAAATGGAATAGCAATCTCAGCGATAGAAGCGCACGACGCGTCTTTGCACCTTGCACGACATCTTCGTCGAAAGAGCCACCTGGTTGCTGCGAAGCTGCCACGATCTCAATTTCGGAACCATCGTCCTGGCAATGGATAATTTGCTCTCCATTTGCCACCGTTAATCCAGGGTCGGGCGGTGAGGGGAGCGAGGTAGATGCAGATGCAGAGCGTTTCAACGAGCTCGGCGGCACATACACTTTTTCACCGCTCAAAATGCCGTGAGCGAAAGTGAGGAAGTACGACGAAAGAGCGCCCATAGTTTTGTTAAACTCATCCAGCATATCGAAGTAAAGCATGATCTTGGCGCAGTTACTTAGCCCCTCCAAAGCACGCTCCATATTGTTCAAGTCGCATGTCCTCTCGAACGCCAACAATATGCTATTGATAGTGCTTTCAGAGATCAAGTTGAACATGTCCTTTTCGTAGAGACCAGCACGAAGCTTCAAAATACTCGTATTCGAAGTAAAGCTTGCGCCGACTACGTTCTTCGAGCGCTTCAGTACCCCCTCCCACTGCATTGAGTATCTGTCAACCGTCGAGGACGACGACTCTACAAAATCGGACACATCATGCTGCATTTGTATTTCCTTCTCCAGAATATTGTAGTATAGGTTCGTCAGATACTCCGTCGGCAGATCTTGGCCTGCGTTAATTCCACGATTGTTGCGAAGAAACTCTTCCACCGTCATTTTCTTTGCGATGTGGTCCGAGTGCAAATCTGTGTTCAGCATGATGATACTAAATGACAAAACATAGGCGGCATCGGCGTCTGCTAAAGGCCCCGAAGAACCTGCTTGCAGATACAACTGCTTTGAAAAAGCTTCCATCATCCGATCGATTTTTTGCGCCTCACCAGGTAGTCGAAACTTCGCCAAAAACATTCGCAGTGCCTCATCCAATGACGGCGCCGAACGAAAGTCGAACATTGCAACATAAGCATCTCGCACCGCAGCATTAAACGGATACTTCTCAACCGGACCGTCGCCGATGTAGTCGCCAATGAGCGTCTTGTCTAAACCAGGCGTGTGCAGCAGGAATGACGCGACAGATTCAGGTGTTAGCTTCTCTGGCAGAAGTCCAATTTGCTGTGAATATGCCATCCAATTCTTCTGGTCGTGATTAAATTTCTCCGCTGCCAACGCATACCGTTTTTTGGTTCGTTTGCGCTGCTGCATCACTTCGGCAGTTCGTTCACGAGCGGTGTGTAGCCACGCCAGCTGGTCTGCTGGGTTATCCTGCTCACTTTGCTCTGATTCCGAGTCGCTTTCACTTCCTGACATCATGAGGTGCATAAGATCCCGCACTGAAGACATCGGTGAAATGTCCTCCATTGGAAAATCACCAGACGTGTTCTCAGTGTCAGGAAGTGCTCCAGTCGTAAACCGTGCTAAATCAGAACCCTTCAAACTTAAGACACCTGAGTTGCTTCCAAAGGTCTTGGACCCTAACGTTTTTGCTGGGGTGTTCAACGGACAACGTCGAGCAATGGACTCAATCACTGCCAACAGCCCCTCGAGACACAGCAACGTCAATGCGTTAAGACTGCCGTCAGCGCCGCACATGGATTGACAATTCTTCGCCAGTGACTTACATAATACCTCGAACAAGTTCGTACAATGTACATCACAATCATAATTAATGTACAAGTCCAGCATGAGCGCTGGTTCCCGGCAAAACTCAAGCAACGATTCCAATGCCAACTCCTTTTGTTCATCCGAGCAAGACGGTGAATCGATAATGCGCATATGAACACTTGTAAAAAATACTTCCAGCTGCACTTTTAGGTGGTCCTTAATCGAGTTGAACAGGTTAAACACAACGCGCAGTGTGAGCGACAAAATACCCAGCTCCTCAGTTTCCGAATTTTGAAGCAAAAACTTGGACAAATCTCCTTGCAATACTGAAACCAAGCATGGGTGATTTCCAAGCCCCGTGCCAGCCGTCTCTAGCACAACATTGATCAGCCTCAGTCCCTGAACACACGTCATTTCTTCGTTCTCCATCGGTGAGGTCAAACTTGAAATAAAATGCAGAATCCGTTCCAGCAATGGGATCCCGTACGGTTTGTCCACTGTTTTAGCCACCTCTGAAGTCGGATCTTCTAGTACTACAATCGGCTCTTCTGCAATTCCAAGACTGTCATCGTACTCGGATTGTACTTCATTTGTCTCTTCCTTTCCTTTAATTGTATCCAATTCATCCTGCAACACTTGTGGCGAGATCGGCGTCAAAGACGGACTGCTTCTCCTTCGAGATCCCAATTCATCTATTCTATCGAACACTGTCAATACCAAATGAGACAATGTATTGTCTGCTGACCGGCACAAATGCATGGATGATCTCGTTTGACTTCGAATACTGTAGCAAAGCTGTAGCATTTTCCACAAATTGTCTCCAGAAATTAAATGACCAGCATCACAGCGAACTGCGTATTCTACAAGCTCCAATAATTTCATCAAAACGGCTTCATCATCTGCTCGATGAGTCTCTTCAAATCTACAATGATACACACAGACTGCAATACGATTGATGGCTACATCAGCTCGAAGAGATTCACATGTAATGAGTCCATATAATAGAAACTTGTTGATAGCTGAAATGGCCGCGCCCGTAATAAAACCACTTGTACGTTCTGACTCGATAACCATAATAAAAGGTAATAGATAAGTGACAGTATCAACGTCACTCAGGTCTGTAACGGACTGTAATTCGTAATGTAATTGTTTAAATGCACGCATCATGGGCGATTGTGTAGAAGCAGGAATCTCCTGTGTAAAACGATCAGCACTAGCCCAACGAGCGTTTACACGCATCATAGACAGCACATTATGGATTTCACCCTTGACACAATTCATAGGCGAAAGGAATCGCTTAATAAGAGCTATTTGCTGTCTCCCTTTAGATATATGAATGACGTATGTTGCAGGATGAGAGCTAAGTTGCACGTGTTGTGCGTGACGTGTGGCACAACAACAGCCAGCTGCTAACAGATTAGAGAGGGGGTGTCTTTTTTCGTGTCAAGAATCTGATTCTGTTAAGAGTTCCTAAAATGTGATCCGAGTGTAGTACGTAAGTAGCAACACATTACAAATTTATTACATAACAATTTGAAATGAATATTCCACTTCCTTCCAATCTCTCTCTTAGCTCGTTGTCTGCGTCTTCGTAAGAGATTTCCGTCTGTGCTTTATGTGCTGCTTGTTCAGTTTGGTAAGGACCGTATTTGTCACTTTTAGACGCAATGCACGTTCCATGAGCGGCGTTTCGGCAAGTAATTCGTCAGCATTATCTGCAAACGTGTTGAAAAACTGCATGATCTCGTCAATTGGTTTTTTCATGACAAACTCCCCCGAAAGCTGTAGCAATGCAAGCGCCACTCGAAGCATTATCTTCCAATTCTTCTCGTACAGAAAAATATCCCAAATCCGATTCAATGAATCGGCAGGAAGCACGTTCAAGTAAAGATAGAGCGTCTGGAACCAGCCAACAGCAAACATTTCAATGGGCACCTTTTCACTTGCAAAGTGCTCGGCAAGAGCTGGTTCGGCCAATTCTAGCAGCCTCTGTGTCTGGAAACAGTGCATATGCAGCCTATGCAGTCCGGGAGCGAACATATCTTGCAGACCATACTGCTCAAAGAGCGTCACTAGTAGCCAGTAGGTGCTCTCTGCTTCATCTTTCGTGTCGTGAGCAGATCCGCTGCTCTTCACTTTGTTCAATACGTGTGCAGCAATATAGTCCATCCCTTGACAATACCCGACGGCTGGAAATCGACCCGCCAGCGCGTGCAAAATCTCGCTCAGCTGTGTGGTCAAGTCTTCCTCGGACACAATATCTTTATGGTTGGCCGGGCGCTTATGTGGTGCCACACGGCCGTATGTGCGCCGAACATCCGTCATGATCGATTTCGTTGCGTCGCCCTTTGACAGACCCATATGTAAGTACGTGTCATAGTCCAGCTCCGAAGTTTCTCGTGTCTTTCGAACGTTGGTCGTTTTCTCCCAGTACGCAAAGCGAAGACTAGACGGAAGGTGTCCGTAACGAACACAAAACTTTTCCAAACGCTGTTCCGAGGCAACAAACTTCCGACAGCTTTTGTTTACGCAAGATACCCGTGCCAATACGACCAAATCTCCGCAAAAAAGCAGAATGTTGCCTAGCAGGTATGGCGAAGTAAAGATATGATCTCCTGGACTGGTAAAAGTCACTTTATCAATTTCAACCGAATGAGTACTGGAATTGCTAGTCCTTCGCGCTAGAATCCAGCAACGTACAAACACATACACTGTCAGCAAACTTTCAACATCAGCCCCTCCTGTGCCCACTCACTCATTTTAAATAGTCCTTTTGCTCGAGATGGTGATACTGTCAAGTTCTTGTATTCCAGTAGAAAGAAACAACTGGCATTTTTCGGCTGGTCAACGTGCTCCAAAACGTCCACAGAAGTATCTCCGAGATAAATGTCCGTCATGGCATTCATCCCCATGGTTTGAATCCTCTCAGCAACAGGTCCTGCCGCCGCCAACTTGGTCTTCAACATACTCCAACCTTGAGTCGATCCCTCCTTCATTTTACTTGCCGCTGTTGTTAAACCTGCACTAGCCGAAGTCTTGGCCTTGACAATCGTAGGCTGGTACTTCTCTATCCTGATAGTATAGAAAAACAATCTAGCCAATTAAAAAATGTCCATCATCTATAAATGAGTCCTTCTTACGTTTTGCTTGTTTTGCTCCTCATTTGCAATAATTGTGGTCCCAAAGTCTTCGTAGCTGTAGCTGCTCGACCTTTCATGATACCAACCAGTCTGTAATTGTCACCAGTAGCTGTAGGTGCGTCACCCACATCGTCATCACTTGCCGGATCTAGTGGTTTAAGTATCAAAGCTGGCGGCGGCAGTTTTTCATTTGATTCTTCACCTCCAGAGCTCGAAGCTGACGATAAAGACGCCAAAAAAGAAGTGGATGGAGCCAAGGAAGAAGCTGACGAAGTCAATGAAACGTCAGTAATTACTGGTAGCTCAGTAGTCTTAACAAGGCTATTGGACGTCTCCATTGCACGAAAGAGATTCGAATGTGACACAAATTCTGAAGTAGAGGGACGGTATGGAAAAATTTGTGCAAATCATTCCACCAACTCATTTTCTATAATTAAAAAAGGAGAAATAGGGTGAACCGACAAAGCGACCGACTACTATATCGCCGGTGGAGGAATCAGATCGACTTGGACGAATCTGAGTACAAAATTTCAGATAAGTCAAACCAAAATATAACAATACCAAAAAAAGTGATGAACATTTTAAACGTTGACGTACTGCCTCCTCCTGGTCACGATGGGGACGACGAAGCCGGTGAAAACCCGACTTTCATACGTCTTTCTTCTACTTCTGGGCTACAAGACAGTAGTGATGATCCTAATCGTCCCCATTCTCATCGTTCTGGAGCTCGTAGACGTCGTAAAATTGACAAAGGTATTCAGCTGATTCTACTTCGAAAGTATGTGCAATGCGCGAAGCAATTTAACCGATTACCCGATCAAATAACAACGGAGCAATTACTAGAACAGGGTTATGATGAATTTTACTATCAAGGAGGGAATTTAAATGAGCCTCGGTTAAGTTATACGGCATTTCTTAAGCTGGTCCGTAATAGGAGAAGTGAAGTGGTGAAATTGACACGAGGAAACAATTCTACTCGTCAAAGGTGAGATTGGAATGCTGTATTTTTATAGGATGATTGAGTGAAAAAGTAACTAATTGGAGTAAATGCATTGGGTTTTGGTCAGTAGAGGCTCAAGTAGACGCTGTCACAAGGAACAGATGGAGATTCGAGCACTTATTGATGAGTTGGAGCACGTTCGGCATGCTCAACCACGCGGTACGCTGGATTATGACGCTGTGAGTACTACTTCAGGCAGTGAAAATTCCCGCGCCATGATGACGGACACGTCCGTGCCGTTTCTGTCGGATGCGTCGTCGATTATGGGAGATACAGGAACTGATGGAGGAGTGTCGGCGGGAGACTTATCTACAGCAGAGACGTACTCGTCTGTCATTTCAGTAACGGACGGAAGAAATGACGACGTGATCGTCGCGCGGACCAAGCTGGATTTGATGCTGAGAGTGGCGCAAGAGACGCTTATGGCGCAGAAGAAGATTTTGGAGGAGGTCCGAGCAATGGAACAGCGCATTGAAGGCTATCACTAGCTGTGAGATGGCGCTAAAAGAAGGTCTTCGATAATGGATTCTGTTTGATATTGGTCGATTGGAGTGTATGTCTATCAAAGCAAAGGTGTTTTGATTGTCCACTTGTGGCAGTGGTGCTCAATCGATGGGGTGGCGAGCTGAAGCGGCGGTTAGATACAGTAGCGATACTAAAAGCACGCTATGAGATGACCGATCTTAACCGATAGCTTTCTCGCCAATATATAGATGACATCAGCCGGTATTAGCTCGTGTTTCACCGTCTTTGTCCAGTTCCATCCCTGCATTTTCACATACCAAAATGCTGAATTTGGTCGAGGGACTCCCATCATGAACCCTGCTTTGACAAAATTAAACAGCGTTTATCTGCGATAAAATCGGCCACAACGACTTTAATGCAACTACCGAAACAAGAACTTTGAGTAAAAGACGTTTGGAAAATAGTGGCTTGGTTTTCTGGAAATCGTCCGATATCTATTAGCAGTAGCAAAGGCTCAAGAGCCAAGGGATAAAGTCTTGTTTTTCGAAACAGTACTGATGCATCTGAAAATGCGCAAGCCACGTCCACAATGGAAGCATTGTGGGCACACATACACACAAAAGAAAAAGTGTATGAGCAATACGAAAGGTCAACCTGAATCCAAGGCAGGCAGCAAGAAGGGTCAACATCGATATTAAAATGTTCTAACTACTGTAGCACCAAGGACTGCTAAGCAAGTTCTACCTCATTGGCTTCTTTGTGGCGAGGACTTCGAGAAAGACGGACGATACAAGAGCAACAAAAACAACGTCCACACACACTTACACTTTCAAGCACGATAACTACAACAGTGCTGGCTTATCATTCATATTGCAAGTCCAAGCTTCTCTGATCCAACTAAATTTACAGAAGACCTCCTTGGCGTGGTCAGAAGACAAAAAAAAACAATTTATCTTCTTTCAACCAACGTTTGTAAGCCTCTGTCCTCCGCTGAACTAGCTTCAAGCTGCAGTGTCACTTAAAGTTTTGTACACAAGGTAGCTCTTCTGTACGCTTTAGTGCGCGATGCCGGATAAAAGTTAGCGATATCTATCGTATACAATAGAAATGACAAAGCTTTCATACAAGCTGACAACTAAAGACTCGGCTCCTCGCCCTAGCGGCGAATCTTGATTTCTTCCAGCTGCATTTCATCCCAGACGAAAGTAGCTACAGCCTCACTGTCAGTGCAAAGCGGTAGCTACGACTTATGGAATCAAAGCAAACTAGCCAACGAAAATAGTCTTTAAATCTGCCGTGTTGCGTGCAAACGCAACTCGTGAGGTCGGACATTAGGCTGATACACGCTGCGAACAGGAGGCTGACGGCCATTGCGACTAATCGATTGTGTCTTACGCCGACAAAGTAAGAAGTAAGCAATGCAATCCATTCTATCCATTTCAAAGGACAGAGTCATAATCCGCTGAGTTCGAAGCGGTTGCATTATAACTATCACGGTCGTAAGGGTCGACCAGAAAGATGCCTCACAACAAAGTCACCGTTCTCAACCTTCTCCAATTTGCGCTACTTGGCTCGCCAACTTCCACCATGTACTTCAACAAATCTTTAGGTGTCATGTTATCCTTTCTGGCCTTCGTCACTAATACGAAGATCTGCACCACTAAGCGTCAGATTTCAACTTTTACACGTAGAAAGCGACAGCAACTACGGTGTTGTTTTTGCGTCCCCATCACTCAACCAGATTGAAGGGTTCTGCATCGGCTTGGTGTGTTAAGATCTGCTAAAATGCGACGTTGTCGTCGGGACGGCTGTCCGACTGTGAGGGGACCAGCTTTTCTCTAGACAGCAATTTCACGGATGCTGTCAATGTCGGCTTCTCAATGCGCATCACCCACCGACTCAACTCTGATTGAACGTGCCGTGAGAACGGACAAAGGTGCCGGTAACATTGCTGTTTGATACACGGCGGACAACCTCGTTACCATTGTCGGCCACTTTCTCTCCATGGACGAACCTATAACCGTTGCATCACGAATTAAATTTCGAATAGCACGAGTCATCACATCATTCTGACCATCGTCTTGTCTACTTCCTTCAGTGACCGCAAACACCATCCATACATCTTTCATTGCCCCTTGCCAACTACCATCTTCTACCTCAGCATTTTCAAATTTGCACAATTCGACTCGTGATCATGACAATTCTCACACTCTTCCAAGCGCTGTTGCTGTTCGTGTCAGTACTCGTGGTCAAGGCCAAAAATTGCACTGTTGAAGCGAATAATCATGTGCTACAATCAATTGCTTTGGATCTCAACTACACTTTGTGCCGGTCCGACAGCAACTACACGTTCTTGTCATTCACAAGTCCTACTACCGTTCAGACCCGTGATTTCTGCTCCAGCTCTGCTTGTCAAAGTTTGCTAAGTACCACGTTGAGGTCCGGTCAAATACCTAAGTGTAAAGTGATTGTTGGCACTCAAGCCTTCAATCTCACTGATGCAGTGGCTCTCATCGCATTCAAGTGTAAATCTGCTGCAGACAAAGGAAGTCTGACCGAACGACTAGTGGACCGAAGCAACATCGACAGCAAAACCCAACGCGCATCAGAGCATGTCGCTAGTGCAATAGGGCATTCGACTCCAATGGACGATGTCGGTTTCATTGGGTCTTTGCTATCTCTACTTCGTAAATAATTGTTGATGTTATACTCATCATCATCCCCTTCTAGCAATGGATTAGGTGCGACAAATACGTTACCACAGTCTTTAACGAAACTTCAGAAAGCTCACTACCACCAATAATGACTCCACATGAGACCCCCGTGGACTCTGAAGCTGCAACTAGACGTAGTGTAGATCTCATTATCTTTGCTGCCCATGTCATTCCCGTTGTACCTCGTGACGTAATCTTGTCAGATTATGCCATCGTCATTGACAACTCGCGTATTGTGGCGCTGCTACCGCGTGACGAGGCCGTCACTTGTTTTGTGGGTACAAAAGAGCATCACTTGTCCACGCACATTGTCACACCCGGTCTTGTAAACTTGCACACACACTCGGCTATGACGCTACTACGCGGCCTAGCGGACGACAAGACGCTTTGTGACTGGTTAGCGCAGGACATTTGGCCCACGGAGAGTGCGTTCATTGGCCCCGAGTTCATCAAGATCGGCATGACGCATGCGGTGGCTGAGATGCTACGCTGTGGTACCACGTGCTGCAATGACATGTATTTTTTTTCTGACGAGGTGTGTAGTGTGCTGGAGGAGACGGGATTCCGCGGGGCGGTGGGGCAGATCATCATAGAGTTCCCAGGTCCCTACGGCTCTGGTCCTGACGACTACTTCGCCAAGGCGAAACCGAATTTAGAAAAGTACGCGCCAGGCTGCCATGACCTCATCACAGTCACTATGGCACCGCATGCGCCGTACACAGTCTCGGACAAGAACTTGCAGCGAGCGAACGCACTAGCGAAGCAACACAAGGCGCGCGTGCACATCCATCTGCACGAGACGGCGAGTGAGTGCTGCGACAGCGAGAACCTTAATCGCCAGTCGATGAGCTGCCACCAGAGTGACCAGAAGCTGCGTCCACTGGCTAATTTGAAGCGCATGGGGCTGCTTTCAGAGCACCTCATCTGCGCGCATATGACGCAGCTTACGCCGGCTGAGATGGACGACGTCGCAATGGCTGGTGCTCACGTGGCGCACTGCCCGTCGTCCAATCTTAAACTGGCGTCAGGTATCGCCCCTGTCACCGAGATGATCAAGCGTGGCGTGAACGTTGGTATCGGCACAGACAGCGCTGCTAGCAATAACTCACTCGACATGTTTGGCGAGATGAAGCTGGCTGCTCTCTTGGCCAAGGCGCAGACACTTCAGAGTTCCAGTCTGCCTGCTGTCGAGGCACTGCAGATGGCTACGCTAAATGGTGCTCGCGCTCTCGGCCTTCAAAAGGATATTGGCTCCATCGAGGTGGGCAAGCGTGCAGATGTGATCGCTGTTGAGTGCGATAACATTGAAATGATTCCCATGTACAACGCCATCAGTCACATTGTGTACGTGGCTGGGCGTGAGCACGTCTCTGACGTCTGGATCAACGGCAAGCACCTGCTCGACAATCACAACCTCACGACCATCGACGAAGTGCAGGTTAAGAAGAGCGTGCGTGAGTGGGCAGCCAACATCTCCGCTCACCGTGAATAGCAAAAGGCGCTGCAGTAGATCTTGCCTCTCCTTGATAGTGGTTGTACATGTAATAGAGGGCTCCGATGTGTACTGAGGTTTAACGTTGCAAACAACTTCAAGATGAACTTTGATCGCTGGTTCGTGGTTGAGAAATCGTAGACGTGCTGTCAAATCGAACGTTGTTTATGGAGTTAAGAGCCCTGGAACACAATCGAGATGATCTGTGCGTGAAACCCACGTAGATGCGGACGTTACAGGTTGTTTTGTCATCGCCCAATACTTTTGTGGCAACATTATTCCATCATCAAAAGCCGGACAAGTATGTAGCATGAAGTAGCAGTCAAACAATCTGTGCGTAATCTTGTTGTGGAAGTGATTGAAGGGCTGTACAAGTTTGTTCTTTGTCGTGACAATGCCGGGAATTCGAGCGTATTGAAAGATAGATTCAACAAAATCTCCTTTTAGACCGACATTTCTGTCTTCTATTGCATTTTCATCATAAAATTTGGATCCCGTCGGTACTTGGCTTCGAATCGCTCCATCCACCTGTCCAGTAAATTTGTCGGAATCGTCATATAGCTTTGACTATTACTCGTGGAGAAGGAGCTAAGGTAGTTAAATAAATCCTGAGCAATTTTCAGCGCAAATGCCTTGCGTTCCTCCAAACCACTGGCTTCAATGCCCAGATTCTTAACATTGTCCAAAGTTTCAATGGACACACCAAGTTGCAACAAAGGCTGGCCCACTACGTCCGGATGCGTCGGCCACGACGTCCGAAAGATGGCACTAGGCTTTTCAGCAAACACTGTCCCTAGTAATTGCCAATTTTGCAAGGCAGGCACTGCAAAATACAGCACCGCTATTGACACAGTTCGATTTAGAATCAGATCTAGAATTAGTTTCCTTTTTTGTTGCATATTGCTAGCCATATGGATACATTCTACATACCTCCAAAGCCTGGAGGCACGGGCGAACTTGGTAGCAAGAAAAACGTAAGGTCCGTAATCTGCGTTGGCTCGAGAATGTCCACTACGTAGTGGACCGGACCGATCTCTCTGTAACAAATAAACAAACACGATTGTAAAGTGTAAATGAATCAGATGTAGGAGCTAATGAGCTCAATGTGGCAGTGTAAGAAGCAGTATTGAACGAAAACACACGCACCGAAAGTCGGTAATAACGGGGCGTCCAGCAATTACGAGCCCAAACTGCACAATGTTTGCCATTATTTCGTAAAGTGACGACTTTTAAAACATGAAAACGAAAATTCTGGAAAGAGGCGTGTTAATGTGGTGAACATATACAGAGAAAACTTGTCAAAAGTGAGTCCTTTTATACCAGAGGAATCTATTCGTTAAGATAAGCTACTACTTATAGAAGGATCTAGAGTATGTGAGATCGAAATTGTTCTAAATTATCAGTTAAGGAAGGCAATATCACTGTAGGCAGATTTTTCTGTAATGTGAGCAAATGCAAAAGGAGACTGGTAATTTACCTAAAATTGTGGGTCCAAACAGGCGTCAACGAGTGTTCTATAACGCCAAATCGAAAATAAAACCTCGAATCTAGCGATATCAACATCTGTAGAATCAATAATAATTCTGCCTATTGCAAGCCTTTGTGTTTATCATATAAACATTTTCTACATAATAGACCCAAAGGCCGTTATAGGATTTACATGATATGGTTACAATTCGACAAGGTGAAGCCCTCGGAGAGGCAGCGTAGGACGCTCAGTGTGTTTTCCGGGGCACTTTCGACTTGAGCAGCTGCGACGCCACCAACAAGATCCACCTCAGAGGTGATCCGAGTGATAACTTGACAACCCGTCTCGAACTCGAACTGTTGAGTGATAGGGCACGTGATCGCGCCGTGACCTCGGTTGTCTCCATCCTGCTTCTGCGTGTTGTAGTAGACGTCGAGCTGAAGCTGACCGGTGATCCTAATAATCACGTGGTCGCCCGCTTCCAGGCGTTCACACGAGTTGACCGAGAGCTGAAAGATTCGAAACTGTTTGCGGTAGTAAAGCCAATGCAGCATAAGGGATTCCACCGACTCGAACTCTTCTCTCTGGAGATCCAAGAGGCATTGCAATGCTGGAGAGCTGCCGTCTGCCAGCCGGAATGTCCCCATATCAAGTCTCGGCTGTTCGCTCTCGACTCCTGCAACGTAGTAGAAGTCGCCAATGGACTCGATAGCGCTCGTTTGTCCGCCGTGTGAACCCGAGACACGATGAGTTTCCAGCCGCGTAAGTTCCTGTTCCAGTACCTTAATCTCACCTGCGACCTCCTGTTCATGCTGACGTTTGCGTTTCCGGTAATTTGCCTGATTGATGCGGCACTGCTCTTTCCTGCGTGTCTTTTTCCAGTTTTCAGTCGTTGTGACGATGGTGTCAGTATGCTTTGATGGCCATACAAGCTTGCTCTTGCTACCAAGCGGTGCGTAGCCTGTTTCCTGCCGTGCAATGGCGATCGCCGCCACCTGGTCGACTGTCAACATGGAACGCCATGCCAGCTCCGGCTCCGGCAATGGGGATACGAAGCTATGGCGGGGCGGAGACATGACATTGTCACGTCGCCCGTACGACCGCTTGCAGAAAGCGGGCAACGAGTTGTAGTGCTCTGAAGATACTTCCTTCGAACGAAGCTGCGACAGAAGGGATCCGTGCATATTCAACGGCTTAACGGCTTCAAAACGAAGCGACGGCAGCGATGGCAGCGACATGGGTGTCACATTCATTCTCGGAATATTACGTGAGCGATTCCTGCGTTCTCAGTTTGCACCTTTTTATAGGAATAACAAGTAGAAGTGGTGATTGTTAAGCGGCATGCCAAACGTCCCTCTCGTATACTGTATGTCACACGAAAGTCATCATGTGATTGGTCGCTGGCGATGTGATTACTGACAAAAAGCGAGGAAAATTTGCACAAATCCAATCTGAATGACTAAAATAGGATTTGCGCGGCTGCTGATCGTCAGAAAAAACGTTGCGAGGCTTCACGAGAAACGCTAACGATAAAAAACTAAATTCTACTCAGTCTGTATACAATCTAATTTCAAAATCATGGCGTTTTTATCGCTGTTTCAGTTATCGGGCGCAGCTAATTTACCGCTGCGCCTGAGATGGCCAATTTTTCTACCGTGCCATGCTCAAATCATCGCAAATCTTTCCTGCTAGTCAAAGCCACAGAAAAACAAAATCCCGTCATTTTGTCATCATTCTAGCTGCGCAATGCACGTGATGAGGTTGCCCTCCAAATTACCTGCTGGTGGTAGCTGCCCAACAATAAAAATAGTACAACTAGGACAAACGTTTGTGATCAAAGGAGAACATCATGATCCACGTTCGCAGACGCAACTAAAGGTTATCAACTGTCAACATTCAAACAGTCAATGTCAAATAAAGTGAGGCTTAGCGAAACTTGCGTCTCCTGGTCGTCGAAACCGACGAATGGGGCGCATGTTGCAGCTGCCATCGGTTTCTAGCGATCTAGTTGTCACTGTTTAGCCGCAACTTAAACACAGCGGAACAATCGGAGCCGAAGAGCCAAAGTTCGGCGGAAGAGTACTTAAGTGATTCGGCATCCCAAACATGACTCAATTCATGATCCCGATTAAAGTGAACTATGTGGCGTTTTCATTCCTCAGGAATTTACGCTACAACCAAAAAAATGGTCAAGCTCACATTTCATATTTGCGCATGAAGGATGCTTCGGTGTACGTGGTAGCGCAGTCGAATGCATGTTGCTGTGTTGCAAGGTTGTCAACGTGGTAAATATGGATGCCACAAGTGGCCAATGAGACTTATCTCTTTGTCATCCTTTTTGATGAGCAAAATTAATTCTATCGCAAAACTTGCTGCTCGGTTGGCTGCTGCTTGACGAATGCAGATTGACAGATGTCCTGAAATACATTCCCATCATGTATTAGCGCAATCAAGTATTTTGAGCCAATCATTATCACTCAGTTTATCGACTCCGGTCCTTGCAGGCCATGCGCTGCGTGCGTGCCCCTCCACACACTTCACTGCGCATTCGATATTCCTATCTACCGGTTTTACCTACTCTCCCATTCTCTCGCTTCATTTTGAGCCACTGCACGCTTTTCACCTCGCTCCAGAAGCTACAGCATCGACTATTTAAATCAACATCCACCATGGCCTCCTCTTCCGGGGGCTTCGAGGCTTTTGGCTCGTTCCACACACCGTCTACCGCCTTCTTATTTGCCCAGAATGATGCAGAATCAGATGGCAATATGGTATTTGAATCAGAAGTTGCGTCGCAGCGTTTGCAGCTCCAGGACAGTTTTATCATGAATGCTTCAAATCGTTCATTGTTTGCACTGGATCTGAAGACGTGGACGTATCTTAATCACGGGGCGTTCGGTGCTCCTATTAAAGTGGCAATCGAAGCGGAACGTCATTGGAGAGCTCAGGCAGACGCTCAACCGTTACATTTCAATGATCGGGAGCTGTTCCCATTGGTTGTGAGAGTCATCAAAACTCTTGCGAAATTTATTGGCGTCTCTCAATCGGAAAAGTTGATGTTATTATCAAATGCAACAGCGGGGCTTCATTCAGTGCTAGCATCTGTGTTGACAGGAAAAGAGCAGCAGACGGTGGTGCTCTTTAGCACGAGATACGGCGCAGTACGGAAAATGCTGCAAGCTTTGGAAGAGAAGACAACATCGGTGCATGTACATGAAGAAGTCTTGTCTTTGGAAGAGTCTCTTGATGACCAAAAGGTGCTGCAAAGATTGGAGACAGCTCTGACGACTGTGCAAGCCTCTGGACGGCGAGTGACGCTGGTGGTGGTGGACCACATCACTTCCAACACGGCCGTGGTCATGCCGGTAAAAGACATTGTGCAGCGCTGCCACGCACGAGATGGCGGTATTCCCGTGCTGATAGATGGAGCCCATGCGTTGCTGAACCTGCCTCTTGATCTCGATGACTTAAGTGCCGATTACTACGTTGGTAACTGCCACAAGTGGTTCTGTTCGACACGTGGTGCTGCTTTCCTGCATGTTGCGAAATCGAATGGGCCACCTATTCGACCTCGCGTGATCTCGCATGGATTCTTCGACGGTATGCAGAGTGCTTTTATGTGGACAGGTTTACAGGATTACAGCGCGTGGCTCGCACTGCCTCAGTGTCTTGCCTTTTGGCAGCGTCAAGGTGTCGATGAGACTCGCAAATACATGCACACATTGGCGCAGAAGGCTGCTGAGTTGTTGTACTCTCGATGGGAGATGACTGATCACCTCGCCCGGGAACGCAATTTCTCTCAGCATAAATGGCATGCCATGCGTCTCGTGCAGTTACCGACTTCACGTAGACTTTGTGGTGGAGTAGTGGTGGATGAGGATAACCCGAAGGCCACATCGACAGATGCCAAGCGTGTTCAGGACAGTCTTCACTATCTTCACCACATTGAAGTGCCTGTCAAATGTGTCGATGGCCGATTGTACGTGCGTCTTTCAGCACACGTTTACAATTGTCTCGAGGACTTTGAAAAACTAGCTGACGCCGCGGTGGAAAAACCTAGTTAAAAGAAGGAGCCGGTTTAGGAACGTGAGTTGTTGTCAGCCGACAGTCGGGGATGTTTTGCAGAAGTTGCGTGTGGCGACGAACGTGGTGTGGATTGGCATCGTTCGCACAGCTTGTAATGCTTCGTAATGCTGGTGTTCATAAACAGCCGATATTACGTTGGCGGATCGCCAAGTATCAGCCAAAGTCATTCAGGTAACATCTGGGAATCCAGGATCGCCACTTGGACGGCTTTTTGATGATTTGCTGAAGCGAATGATGGTATTGCACACGTTGAGGGATACGAATTTCAATAGTTTCGGGGCAAAAAAACATATGGGTGATTCACTAGCTTTGTTCCTGTTGACCTGGGTGCTCGGGCTTCGAAGGCGCGAATCTAACAACGAATAAATATGCGTCTGAAAAGGCCGTCAATGACCTTTATATGACTGAATCTCTCTGTAACGGGCTAAAAGTTACACGGTTCGTTAAGTATCGAATACTTAACGGGCAGCCCTAAATGGGTACGAGGTACCTTAGGTCTGCCACTTAAACGCCGAACCAAACTGTTGCCGGCCGCTTAGAGCGGTCCGCGCAACGAACAACTAAGAGGTTCCTCACTTACGTCACGCAGAAGCTTATCAAGCTTCTAGTGCGCAGTGGGCAACTGACTTCTATTTGAAACAGGGAACAATAAAAATTTCGGTCACTCACCCGAGGGAGTGACCACAACACTGTTGTCAAGACGAAGCCTCAAGATGTACCCACATGCCGGTAAGGTATCCGTGTTTGTGAGTCATCGTAAGACGTCACGGAATGGCATCATAGATTGACGTCATTGCTGAAGCTTTTACAAAAAGATAGGCTAAGAGGTATCTTTTTGTGAACTAAGGACATATATGTAAACACTTTACATTTTACCATCAAGTTCTTAAGTACCTTTATTTACTTTAAACACGGCCTCGCAAATCTACATCCTCACACCAGGCCCCGACCATTAAGAATATAAGGACCCAGAAATGCAGAGCCAATTGAGGCCTTAGGGCCCAGGTAAGCAGGATCCAGGGTACAAGGGCCCAATACCCGAGAATGCAAAATGGCACACGGAACCTCGAAGATTACAAGAAGTACAGGTACTAAGGAGTCAGTTCTTTCTCCAAGAGTCGACACGTGGCAATATCCAGAGCGAAGGGTCAGGGTTGGGCAAGAAAATGCATACAAAGTATAAGATAAATAAACACATTCGGATTTGCATTACACGTGGCAGCTCTTAGCGCCCCTCTCCAAGCTCTTCTCCGTCACCTCAACTCTTCCGAGCGGGATACCCTTTGGCCCCCGACGTCAGTAGGTGTTAGACGGCTCAAGCTACGCAAGTTGAACCTCAGGATAGTTGGTCTGAGGTGTCAAGACTCAAGTGCGAACTTGTTTCGATCTACCCACCTGTTCCGGATAAAGGATTATTTTGCCCTCCCCCCCCGTTGAAGACAGTCGTGTGGTAAGATTCAAGCTCGAACGAACCCCAGGAAGTATTTTGGCCTGTGGGTTCGTACCCATTCAAGACCCGCTACAGGAAGCGGTTTCCCTACGGGGAACAAGAGAAAGGGGTCCAAAGACCAAGAAACCGTTAGATACCGAAAGGGGTGCATAGTCACAGGTGCATTTCTCTCGACCCAGTCGATTGAGCCCAAGAACCCCCGGGTCCGAGCGAAGTATATCCACTCGTAAGCCCCCAAGCCCCTCCATACAAGGACCAAGTCTATAAGTCGTCTGCATCTAGCGAGGAGAAAGACCAGTCAAGAAGACGGGTACACAAGGTGAGACCCAAGGTTGACGCGACACGGTATCGGGGTACCCATCTTTAATTGCTTGCACTTGCTGTATAAATCTCTAGAAAGGTTATCCTCTTTAAGTCGGCAGTCTGGCGCTGTGTGTGTTTGTGGATCTCTCACGGCGTTTGAGAATCCACTCCACCACAATGGTGCGCGTGCCCGGATCTTCGGGAGACGCGGGATTTCACCGTGAGTTCCACGAAGAAGAAAAGGAAACGGTCAAGATGGAACAAGGGACGAACAAGACACTGGAACCCATATCGCCAGTGATCAATAAGGAAAAAGGATTGGAAGACCTGCAGAGCCCGAGGATGAGCTCTGCTATTGAGGTTAAGGTGGAATGTGAAGAAAAACCACAAAATCCTCCCTACTTTGTCTTCGTTAAAGAAGACAACGTGGGCCATAATAAATATTATGGTCTAGAGGCCCCAAGTTTGACAGCGAAAGCCAAAAAAGAGACCCTGAAACAAGTCTCTTAAGCCACTACTCACGAAAAATCGGTGCCCAAGAACAAGAAAAAGAAGCAGACCAAGTTGAAGGCACAAACAGGCGGAGACACGACGGGCGAGTCGGGAGAAACCCAAGGTAAGGCTAGTAGGGACTGGACGGAAGAGGACCTGGAAGAAGCATATCACCAGAGTAAGTTGGAGACGTTTTTGCGAAAGGACCCGGTAATGAATACGCTCAAGGTCAAGCTACTAGACCAGGTACATGGCCCGATAACGGCCTTGCTCATCGCAACGACAGACCTGGAGATCCTCAAGGCCTTGATGATCCTGCTTCTTGAAGCCGGGATGGCTGATGGAAATTTTATTGCTGAGGCCCTCTTTGATTTTGGACTCGATACCCTGAAGAAGACCCTGGTAGCCTTGCAAAGTCATATCAAGGCGTTAGTGGGCGAGATTCCCTACAAGGAGGCACCCCGTCATGTGGGCACAGCAGCTGTTCCTGGCCTAGGCTCTTCAGCATGTTCCCACGATGAATCATCACCGAGGTCCCAGTATGAGTCGGCCATTTCGTCTACGGTCTCGGCCCTAATGGATACAGTAGATCGGGTGCAGCTGAGGCCAACCGGTGCAGCCTTGCTCGAAGCACGGATTCGCGAAGCAGGACAGATGGATGCAGCGATCCCGAGGGCCCAGCCACAAGTACGTGAAGATGTGATCAGGGTACCGTTGCAAAGTGGAGCCAGGGTTGCTGGGGACATAAATTGATCAGAATGTAAAGCCTGAGGCAGGGCCCCCTGGTGCGCTCCAGTCATATTTCGAAAAGGCGATGCCCAAGTTCCTGGAAGAGCAGGGACCCACCCGAAACGCATCGGACAGGGTACAGATCATGAGGGGCCGAGGTCCACTTTACCCTGGGCCCTCCCAGAGAGCCGATCACTTGAGATCACCACGTGAATTTCCGGATGTGGACATGGAGTCGGCAGAGTCTTCTTATGGAGAATAAGATCCGGATGATTTGACGTTTTCGGCTATCTCGGCGCGAGCGACTGTGGCCAAGGCTACAGCAGGTGAAGCCCTTACTACTATTTTGATTATTCCCCATATACGAGTGTCGGCTTCATCGGACTAAAAGAAACTCAACTGAAGGGACCATGATGATGACCGTGCCCGACGCTGGAGCGCCAAAGTGAAGACTGTGTTTATCCGAGACTAGACACCAGACAGTGAGAAATGTCTTATTTTTGGGGGCCTTCTCACGGGTCCTGCTCAAATTGGTACCGACAAATGTGTCGGACGGTACGTGGCGACTGGGAGCTACTTTTGCAAGAATTTCAAGCCCACTTCTGCGGTCTAGGTGTGTATGTGGCCCGGCAGTATTATCACGCAAGGAAGAGATCCGACTAGTCACCACTGGAATATTTGTACCGTTTAAATGCGGCAGGGATCAGGGACAAACTGATAATTAAGACTGGCTTTCCTCAGGTGAAATGTAAACATGTGGAATATTACGTGAAAACTTTGGACGATCGCAAATTGGCGGACCAGCTCACCATGCTCAGAATTTCGGATGCAGATGACCTGGAAGAAATTCTACTAGCTCGCTAGCGAGCGAAGGCGCGTCACGGAAAGGTCCTGCTCGGTTCCAGCAAATTTCGTCAAAAGGCCCCGACCTCCCCCCGAACCGATAGTAGACCAAAAAAAAACAAGACGTCCTGTCCAATCCATCCAAGCTACATCGGGAACCGAAGGTGAGCAAGAGTATAGCTCCAGTGGATCCGAGGAAGAGAGGGGCCTGAGACGAAGTTATGCGGCGGCGACCAAAGCCCACACTGGTAGGACTCGGGACGTGGATGGACCTCAAGACCATCAGGACCCGAATTCGGATCGGGAAAGATGTGCGTCGGACGGCCCCGATCAAAGACCGGGCCCAGAGGTACCACTGATGAAGTGTACCCATTGTGAATACAAGAAGCATGGGGACCTGAAATGTTGGAAGCGAATAGTATGCGAACGATGTGGAAAGAAGGGGCAACTTACCGACCGCTTCTTATTTGAGTGTCTTGGTTGTAACGAGATCCACGACGCGAGGAAGTGCCAGATGGAGGCGTTCTACGTCTTGATTCGCCAATGGTACAACCCGACCAAGCATGCGGTGCAGCTGATGGAGGCTGTCGAGAAGATGTTAAATTAGGACGATTGCCAGGTTTGAATCTGGTACGAGCCGAGCGTTCTGATTGCTACACTTATGCATTTGTGGAGAAGCATCCGGTGGAGAGTTTCGTTAAGGAAAAAGAATTGGTTGGAATACATCGGACTTTTGTATTAATTCTGTTGCTGTTGTGGCCAATGCACGTATATCCGATGAATATACACGGGAAGAGCCGGTGATGATACTGGAGTTTTATAGCCGGGAGAGTTAAGAGGATATTGGAAACATCATGCCCCAAAAAAGTCGTTTAAGCAGGCCAAGGCCTCTGGGAAGGTCAACAATACTCGCGCAAATCTGCTCTTCGATTCCGGTGCCGAGGTATCTATTTTGGATACCGCCTTTGCTCGTAAGGTAGGCTGCTAAATCGATACGAGCGAGAGACAAGAGTGTGTGACTATTGAAGAAGTACGGAAGGACGGAAAAAAGTGAAGATAACGCTGAATTGGATACAGGTATGTTATTTCGATGTATGGGTTGGTTCCCTGGTTGGTCAGGATGAACTTTTGGAATAGATGTTATAGTGCCAGCCGGAATAC